CCATTTATCTAGTCTAATATAGGTATAAAAAATATCATTCTCTTGAATCGGCAAAGAATTCATAATTAACGAGAGGGAAATGTCAAGTTTTAAGGAGAAAAAAATAATAAAGATAATCGGCTAAAGCATGTCTAGTCCATCGAATCGGCTATTTTCCTAACAATTTATATCTACAAACAAATATTCCCTTGCTAGTGTTAAGCCAAACGATAGAAACAACACTTTTCCTCCGAGTGCTTGCATAAACGAACCAAACACACAACTAAATAATGAGCAAATTTATTAAATTAAATGTCATGACCATCAAAAACAAAAGACAAAACCCCATTTATTTATTGTTTTAATAAATGATGAAACATCATTAATTTAGGCTGCATTTTCAGATTTGGATGGTTTTCTTAGGGTTTGAGTTACTATTTTTTTAAGTGGGTTTCAATTTAGGAGCATTGGGTTTCGAGTTTGGTTGAGTTTTAGGATAGTGGAATGGTAAGTCGAGGCTAGTTGAGTTTGGGGTTGGTTGAGTTTTGAGGTCTGTGGTCATAACGTGTGAGATAATATTATGCCAAACAACATAAAAAATAAAAGCTAAAACCTATGTTAAAATAATTTCTTACCCTCAAATTTCTCAAATGTGGCTTCATTTATAGTGCATTCGAACCTAGTGTAAGTGGTGGTGCTAAAAGCATACATATTTTTCTTTGCCTCTTCCATGCTAAAGAAAAAAACATATAAGTTCCAACATATAAAAAACCACTATGAAATGGTATCCAAATTAACTAACCAATGAAAATCCCGAGTTAATTTGCACAAGAAAAATGAAATATTGTCAACACAATCAACTTTATAAAACCTCTAATTCTCCATATTACAAAAAATAATAAGAAAAACGACGAGGATTAAAAAAAATCATATAAGCTATTTTCGGACCTAACCAAACTATCAATAAAAAACAAAGACATAGTATTCAGCATATAAACATCAATAACTCGGTCTCATTATCATCTAAAAGCACAATACTCATAAGCTATAATAACCTTTTATATATTCATAACTAACTACTATTAACGAGATGGAACCAAAATACACAACTTTTAAGTAAATAATTCAACCTTATTAACATCTAAATTGTCCATAATACAAATAGCCAAAAAAAATTCCGAGAAAGACGAAAAACCCTCTAAATAAATCATCCAATTCTCAATCAAAGCCAAACAAACACCGATGTATACCTCAAAAGATAAACTTCACAACATGAATTTTCATACACATCCAAACTTTCCACTAATGCAAGGACAACCAACCAAAAAAATCAAAACAAACAAAACCCATAAACTAAAACATCCATTTCTCTATTAAAACCAAACCAAACAAAAAAAGACATAACTTTTACAATAAAAACCTTACAAAAAGAAGAAGAAAGAAATTAACTTGCCTAAAACAATAATAAGAGTATTAAGATAAGTATCAATCATTTACTCTATAGTAAAAGCATGGTCTTTAAGGAACTCTATAACAATCAACCAATGATTATAGTCATAGTTGGCTATCAATATCGTCTACTATATCATTATTACTCGTAGTTACTTCTTCTTGATGAGTAATTTGAACCTATAGTAGGCCTTGTAATCAAAGGCCGATACTTGAATCTTGGGAGCTAAAATCACTCGTAAATAGGTCCATGAAAGATTTCTAAATCCAGATGACAAGTTGAGAAAAAAATCAACCAACGGAATAATTTTTTTTTCATTTTTAGATGAAAATGAGCATAAGAAACATCACTTCGATGCTAGTAGAGGGTTATGGTGGGCCATCAACTAGTTTTAGATGGTGATCGATGACTAAAGGGACTCGTCGTTGAGAGGTACGATAACAATAAAAGGGATCGATAGCTTTGAGGGATGTTCAAGTAATCCATAATCCTAGCCTTTATATCATGTTCTACAGATCTAGTTTTCAGCATATTCATAAAGAGCATGATCATTCAAATTTATAGTTATTTCATGTAAAGTAAACGTAAATGATTCTCGATACTACTAAGTTTAAAGATAAGAAAACAATCTAAAGCCACAATAATCAAGACATATCTTTGAGAAAGTCTCGAATAGTTGCTCATACTCATCTTGTCTCAAATGATCAATCTTTTCTATTGATTGAAACTTTAGATACATGTGAGAAATTTGGAACATGCATCATAAAGGTTAGTGATTGAGTTCTCGGTGCAAAAGATTCTCTCCACGGCGAAGTTATGGCATGCAAGAATTCCTTCAGGCATGAACCCTAGCAAGAGATCTTGACCTCCCGATGGATGTTTTTTCTTAACTCGAAGATGACTTAGCACCAATTTCTTGAGATTTTACAAAAGAACCATCTTCGGATGTTACATTAAAAGCTTTTCTAAGCTTGTTTTCTTACGATTGCTAGAGCATATTCAAACCGGAGCTAGAGCCATCTCTCTTGGTCTTCTTGTCCATTAATAGAGATGCACGATGAGTTATTGGTTTTCATATTAAAAGATGAAAGAATGCCTCTCTCTCTCTCTCCACGACCACCGAGTTCAAGCTCAAATGAAAATCAAGAGAAGTGATTTTGAAGTCAAACTTGTAACGGATCGATTGTGTGACATTCCAAAGTTTGGAACTTTATGAATAAAACATTAAAAAAATAAAAACAAAGATTGTGTTTGTTAGAAGTGAGTATGAAGAACTTTTATGGAAGACTGGTCATAGATAAGAAGAATGATAAAATGGTGATGGTGATGGGCGAGTTGACGATCGGTGTTAGAATGTAGTGATGGTGGGTGCAATTGGAGAAAGGGATAAAATGGTGGTTACTCTTATCTAAGAAGATAAGACGTTAGATGAGGCTTGGTGAGTACGGGATTGTTAGGGTTTTATGTGGATAGTGGAGATATGAATGAATAAATGGAAAGAGAAGCAATAAATCAAATGGACGGAAATAGACCAAGAAGATTAGAAGGTCGAGAGAGAAGGAAAAGGCATGCATAGTATATTGACGGTGCAAGTCGAGTCTAAATAAGCGAGTAGATGAATAGTGAAAAATCTTATTTTTTTAGTTTTGTTTGTAAAAAACAATTTTAATGAATTAATTTGGTGATTAAAAAAATATGATTACTTCTTTGACTTTTGGATTAAAATCTTGGAATCGGCATTTAGGAAGTTTATTAAATTTATCCAAATGTATTAGATCGATACAAGATTGTTTTTAAAATCATTAAGGAAGAAGACATAGTAATTGATTAACAAATAAGTTGACTTAAGAATATCCTTTTATCGTTAAAAAAAAAAAAGAGAGAGAGAACAAAGGTCTATTTATTTAATATAGGGTATTCATATTAGTAATCGCTCTTATTCTTATAGTCAATTTCAGAGTTAATCAATCAATATAATTTTTTTTGACTTGCTATTGTGCCCAAGGAATTTATTTTACCTCATCCCATAATAGTTCATGCCTTTTTATAATCATTATATTGGAAATGCATAGGTTTAAAACTTATGATCCCTTGTATTAGGGAAAATAATGATCCTTGTAATCTTATACAATTATATTCCAAACACATTTTTCTTTGAATTCTACTTAATACCTGAAAATTTGAAAATTTAGTTGATATATATTTCGTACAAAATTTGACAATTTGGCCTACAATCATAAGTAAATAAAGAAGATTCCTATTATATGTATTGAAATTTAGAACCATAAAAAGTTTAAATATTCAATGGAAACTCATAAAATGTTCTAATTGTTTTATAACTTAGTGTATCTCATAGATTTTTAGATATAACTAGATGTTTCGCCGCGCTCACTACGAGTATGACAGAACAAAATAATTTAAAAATTTTATAATTTTTAATTAAAATTTTTTATATAATTAAATTTTTATAATGTTTTTCATAAATTTTATGCTTAAAAAAACATAATTCATTTTTTTTTTATGGATTGATTTTAAAATAAAAACTTATAATAATATTATCTGAAGTTTCTAATGTTTTATGAAAAACGGATGAGATGGTGGTTCTTCCTTCTCATTCTCATTTCACTTTCATATTTCTTAGGTAGGCATGCTTATTTTAGAGCTAAAACGGTCAATATTCTCATTATTTTTTAAAAAAATTGGGCAGTGATTCCGTTATGATTTAATGGAAAATGAATGGCACTACCATTAGTGCATGGCTAAAACGAAAACAGAGAAGGCAGGAAACTGATAATAACCAGAAAAATTCCCAAAATGCAATGAAAAAACCACCACAAACATTTTCTCAATTCGAAGTAACAGATTCATTCATTACAAACAAGCAACAGCCATATGGAAACAGGGATTAGTGGCTGTTATGGCTATGGATAAATACAAACACTGGCTTATTCATATATCGATAGTAAAGCTTAGATAGCTGATGGATCCAGAATCCTCTATTTAAGCAATTGGTCTTCCTTATGCAATTCATTGTCAACCAGGACCTACAAATTTGAGGTACATAACAATAATTAAGATGTCACAACAAAACATATTTGCATTTGACGTAAATTCAGAACTGCAGAAGCTAAATTTAACAACTCAGTTTACTTGTCTTGCTTTCTCCATAGGACAAATAAAGCTTCATCAATATATTTGCTGCAAGTTTTCATGTGCTATAAAGACTATCACATCCTTTGGCAACAACATCTATTTCTCCCACCTCCAAGAACACTTGATTCTTGTTAAAAGACTCAAAAGTCTTGTTTTATTATTTTTTTATAAAAAAACTCAAAAGGCAAACAATTCAATGGGCAATAAATTTTAGGGTAGATAACATTCTTGTTTTGCATATTTCATCTCAAAAAATTTTCTAACATAATTTTTAGTTAGCAAGTTGAAAACATAAAAGAAAATGGATTTCCTGGCCAATTTTAACATTCGATTTCAATTGCATGCGTCAAAGCAGAGAAGTATGCAACATCTTATTTAGCATAGAACCTAAAATTGTTTAGAGAAAACTTACAGTTTTCTAGCCATCTAGATCTAAAAAAGAGGTGATTTTGGTGTTGAGTCTAGGAATTGGCCTAGGTTGATAAGTTATCTTGCCACCAAGCTCTTGTGTTACAAAATTGACAACCTTAGCACTTTTGGACACACATCAGTGCCAATTGCACCCTATAATGACTATTGGATTCATTAGTGTTCAATGTCAGCAATCATTAAGGAGTTAAGATAGCTTGAAGAACATGAATTTAACTCACCTGCGCATACGCATTTTTTCCTTGGTGTATTTAGTCACACCATAATTGAACGTCAATTCCATAACAATTGTCTTGTATTCATCTTCATAGCTTATCATGGCCAGAGTGTACTATGAAGTACAATCAATAAGGTGAGGGAACTCCAAAAGATTAATCCATATCTCAAAGCATAATGAGTACACCTACTACTTAATATACGCATCAAATCATCAGAGAAAGAACATTTCACTTTGTGCTCAGGTCTATCAATTGTTCTTAAAAGCTTCATACCCAAGTCCTGCACAGAAGACAAAACCAAGAAGCTTAGATCATGTGTTATTTTGGGTTACTGCAAAAGAATATTTCAAGGATAATTTTTTATAAACATAATTTTTTCTAACGTTATTCAAGCATCATGATCCAAGATGCAATATGTCTTCTTTCAGATCTAAAAATGAAGTTTTTTTTTTTAAAAAATAAAAAATAAAAAGACTATTTGCCATCAAACACATTTTCTCTAAAAATCTAAAATCTTCAACCCAGCTCCTTAACAAACCTTTTGTAAACTTCCAAGAACCAACCGAACATCAAATCCGATAGCCACCACACGTATTTTTGCCTTTAGTATAGAGGTTTTTTTTCCAGATCTAAAAGATGAAGTTTCAAAAAAAAAAAAAAAAAAAAGGAAAGGAAATTGAGTTTTTATTCACGAGAGTTAACGTACTTTTTTTTCATATCTAATGGATGAGGTTGAGAAGGGATGTTGAGCTTCGTTTATGAAACATAATATTGGAGAAAGGTCGGTGGAGATGGGTTCTATTTCTTGATGATGATGGTGAGAGAAGAGAGGAGCAACGATGAACAGGGAAAAAAAAAAAAAGGTTAAAACCAATGAGTTTGCAACTGAAAGGAAAAAGAGAAAAACGGCCAACCTTCATGGAAAGAAGCCCAAACGTTACTAATTCTGAGGAAAGAAGAGGTGGGCAACATAGAAGAGAAAGGAGAAAAGAGCTGCTGCAAATCAAAGGAATAAAAAGAGACCAAGAAGAAAGAATGGTTGAGAGAAAAGGAAGGTCACGCACAATATAAACACAATACAGCTGAGTCTAAATGAGCAGTGACTGAATAGTGATAATCCTTATTTTTTTTAGTTTTGTTTGTCAATATAATCATATAGAACTTTGTAATTAAAGAACATAATCTGATAACCCCTTCCCTCACATCATTATCTGAGTTATCTCTTTCTCTATTTAAGAGAGATTTCCATTCCAATATCTGATATTATTGCGCTTTTTAATCCTAAAAATTAATTCAATTAGTGAAATTTTATAATCAAATATTCAACTCCATTCAAATTGATATGGATAACCCAACAATCCTATTGGAATCAGATTTAAAGACATTCTTGCATCACATACAACAGATAATTTCCCAGGCACAGTTTCATTATCTTTTCTCAATGATTCAGCTACCAACATTGCATCTGTTTCCACCATGACATCTGTTAGTTCTATGTTGACAGCTTCCTTAATTGCCTTTCCTACAAGCCATCGCTTCAGCCTGCAAAATTGAGGACACCTTGCGTCTCCATGCTCTGCCATCACTATCTTCCCTGTAGCGTCTCTACCCCCAAAAGCTAGTCCAGCTATATTGCTGTAATGAGTCATTGAAGCATCCGTCGTCCTCTTCTCTGTCCAGTACCATGTGTTGGTGCATTAGAAGTCCCCATTTGAGGCAGCTCGCAAATCGAAACTTCCATGTATGCCCTCTCTGCATTGAAAGCAGTTACAATTGGATTGGGAATTTTGTGTTTAAATTGGAAGTCATTCCTGGATTTTCATATGTACCCAACACATGAAGGTTAGTTGACCTTAAGCCTCTTGAAAATCTACTGTAAACACCGTCCGAGTATTTTCCCACCAAACCAACATGGATTGAAAGCCCACCAATTGTGGATTATACCCCAACTGACTTGCAAACCAGGTCACTCTAGCATTCCAAAAAAAAAAAAAAAAAAAAAAAAAAAAGAAAGTAACATAAATAGTTAGTCAATATCTATTTTGGTATCCAGCTTGTTTCTTGTTTAGGTGAATTTCAATTTGCCCTTCAGCTATTTGGTCAATTTCACCTAAAACTCTTGATTTATTTTAATTAGAACTAGCATTTTTTTTTATCAGCTCTATATAATTTTTAATACATCCTAAAAAACAAAGAATGAGAAATTGGCATTGAAAAAATCATCAACAAAAATATTTTTCAACAAAAAAAAGATGATAAAAAAGTTCTTTTTTTCAACACCATCTAGCAGTCCTTTAACAATACAAAAGTAAAATTCAGAAAAAAATAAATACGATAAAAAATTATATTTTAAGAAAAAATATCAATATCTATTGTCATTGTTTTTCATGTGCTCTCTCCCTATCATATCATATCTATACTTTTTTTTATCTAATTTTTCATTAAATTCCTGAACAAGAATTCTATTAAAAAAAATTCATATATGTATGAAATGGTAGTTTTAAATATAGGACAATTTTGACATCACTCAAAACGTAAAAATTTGCATTTATCAAATGTGTTATTTAATGATAAAATAAGGAAAAAAAAAACATAATAGCTGAGAGAGGTCAAAATTGTAAAGATCTTAACAAAAAAAAAAAAAAAAAAAACAATAAAAGAGAGAGTTAAATTAATTTGAATTTTGATTATGTATAGATAAAGAAAAAAAATAGTGTTTCTAAGTGAAAATTAAAATTTGTGGGATTTGAAGATTTTTTTAATAAACTAATCCTTTCAAGTTTTATCATTTTTTTAATAAAAAATATATTTTCTATTTATTTTTAGTTTTATATTTGTTCATTTCGATTAGTTTGTTATTATTATTATTAGAAGATAATGAGATATTTTATAAACTTTAAAAATGAAATTAAAATTTACGAAAATGGACAGTGGAGAAAAAATCAACAAAACTGAAAAATACAGGTGTTAACTGAAACATAATGAAAGATGTGAAAGCTGATTGACGGACAAATTGAAATTTCCCTTTCCTTTCTGATGGTTTCCCACTAACATTACCTCCCACCGCGATTGCAGACTCGTCTTGCTATGGATGCACCTTTGTAGTAATTGAGTCCAATTTCAATGCGCGCGCAACATAGAAAAGCAACAGGAGAATTAGAATAAATCGTTTTCATCAAATGCCTCCAATTCCAAATATATATTTTTTTTATTCGATGATTGCCCTAAGTTCGTAGAACTAATGCCAGGTTCATCAACAATGCACAATGATGGTCCAACCTTATCTCAACGATGGCTCCAATTGCCAAGCCCTAGTCCTAGCCCAAGCCCAACTCTTTAGCAGCAAGACATTCAAGCCCTCCAATGTATATAGTCCACCCTCCACGCCCAATTCCGAAGAGACTCCGCCATTGCATCGAGCTTATAAATAAAATCTCGATCCCTTGCGATCTTCCTTTCTGATTTCTGAAACCATACAGCAGATTAAAGCCGCCGCCGCCGCCGCCACCCCCCCCCCCCCCCCCCCCCCCGCGACACTTTTAAAAATAGTTAAGAAGTTGTGCTCTATTTTTTCATTTTCCGAGTTAAAACTTTGCGGTTACTATGAAAAAGAATTTATTAAAAAAATTGAATGTATTAGGTCTATGTGAGAGGTGTGTTTTTAAAACTCCTTAAAAAATTAGTATCGATCAATATGTAATGGCTAAAGAAGTCTAAAATCTCTGTAATTTTCATTTATTTAAAAATCAATCCTTAAATGTTTAATTTCACATTTGATTTCTTCTTAATTTTATTGTTTCGAGACATAGTCCATCATACGACTTCAAATTGAGACCCCAACTCGGTAAAAAATTAAATTTTTTTTTTTTTTGAAATGAAGCTTTGCACACATACACATTATCGAATTTCACTAAATAGCGATAGATGTAAATAAAAAAATAGCTACAAAATATCCACTATTAGAATCAAGGATGGAATAGCGATGATTTATTAGCGATCGACACTAATCGTAGCTAGATTTGATGATAAAATATTTACGAGAGTTTAAAATATGATTTAGCGATAGACTTTTTACGAAAAATAGCAACAAAATGGCATATCCATCATTATTTTCAATGTCACGATTTAGCGACGGATATTTCATCATTAGATGTGAAAAAATTTGCTATCGATTTGTGCAAAATTGGTCAAAATTTCGATACGGATTAGTGACAAACTTAAGTGCGAGGGGATTGCCTCGGTCGCTATTGTCCAACCCTAATTTAGTCCTTTTCTTTTTCCTCTTCCCGCATTTTCTTCTCCCTCTCCTCCTCTAGCCATTGCTGGCATTCTCCTACCCCTCCAAACCATTACCACGAAAGATCATGCATCCTATAAAGATGCAAAGTCAAAAAAAATAAAAATTGTTCTCTTCCATCTAAAGTACTAAGATGTTGTTGAATCAACTAACTATGTATTAATAAAATGGATTAGATGTTAGCTCTTGTAACATATAATCAAATGGATAGAACTATGTAAACGTCTAATCTTTATTGATGATCCACACGGCTAAACACCCGCACGAAGTGGTAGAAGTCCCGAAGTGCTAGCTCCAACTTTTCTACTAGGTATAATTTTCTCTCAAGAAATCACACAAGGTAGTTGGCGTAATATTGTAAGAGAGGGTGGCATGTTTGTTTTTCTTTTAGAGAGACATAACTTTGTTTTCTCATTTTTGTGTTACTTGTTTTGCTTCTCCAGTCCCTCTTTTTTATATAGGTGGCAATAACTCCTTTTCAATTAAGGAGTTGTAACTTATGTGATTTTTGTTTGATCTTATCCTCATAAACCTTGAACTTTATCCTTAAGTTCTCAAGTTTATCCCTCCACTTATAATACCTTACATGCTTTACTTAAGTCTCGTTGGCCCAAACTCCTTTGATCCAATAAATCAATAATTAATTTGGACGATTTAAATAAGCTAGGTCGGATAATTTTAGATAGGTCCACATTTGAAAATAATTTTTCAAGTTACCCTTGCATTTTATTAAACCTAAATTAAGAAATTTATTTCCAATTTAGGTAACGATTTTCAATTTCGGAAATTGATTTTCAAATTAGAAAACTCATTTACGAAATAGGAAATTGATTTCTAAAATAAGAAACTAATTTCTAAAATATTTGTTTCTCTTTTTTTGTATAAATGTTTACACTTATACGTATGACTCAATAAATTCTTAGATATGTTGGTAATGTATTGAGATGATAAAAGATAGTTCTTTTATCTTTTCATATAGAAACTTATTTTATCTCTTGACTACCAAATTCTCTAGAAGCATTACCTAATTCGTAACAATCTTTCACGAGTATAGTTTCCACATAATTCGGTCCTCATGTCAATTTATTATATAATGATCTCAAACTTGTATTATTTATTCGATTATGATCACACAAGTTTTCTTCGATCTCCAAATGTCTTAACTCTCAAATAAACCAACTATGCTCTATTGGTATACTTCTATTATGACCACAAATTCTTAAGTAGATATTTATTGAAGTGTAATGTGATAATTCCTTTGGCATATAAAGAATGACATGTCTTAACTTAGTTATCCACCTATCTCTATTAGATTTCTAATACACTTGGCAAATCGTCCACATGCGGCTTTACATTGAGCCCATCGAAATGAATGTCAAAGTATACCAATCCTCTAATGAGATAACCGTGATGACTTTAAATCAAAGGACTACTTGTACTCATCTCGTATGAGATTCCCATAGACCATACAAAATGGGTTTTCATGATAAGTCATGTCTAGTGATATGTTCTCCAATATTATTCACTTGTGTGCTCACTTTAGCATCACCATGCAGGAGGTGAGAGATCTTCTATTACTATCTTATAGCAAGAGCACGGTACTCACAAGTCTTATCGTATATTGTCAATGTCTAATTTTGATAATGTTATGACTTAAGACATTTAATGATATCATTTATATACATTGATGTGTATCTCACATCTATTGATCAATCATTAATGTAATGCACATCATATGAACTTCTCTCTAATTCTATCAAATCATAAATGATAATAATTAATAGAAAGACTTCTTTATTGATAATGAAAATGCAATGATATAATAAACTATTCAAACAGAGTTAGGTCTTGGGTACCTACACTAATAATCTTTCACTTGCACTTAGAGCTAACCAACCATGTCTCTAATGCTCGAAGATTGAACAAGGGTTTTATGTTTTTTCATTGATAAAAGCTTAATCAAAGGATCGGTTATGTTATTGTGACCATGGATCTTTTCTACTCTTATATAACCACGACTAATAATCTTTCTAATTAGGTGGTAACTTTGTAGTACATACTTGAACGAGTGGATGAGACCTTGGTTTTTTAGCTTGTATAGAAATTTATAAATTCATATAGCTTCCTTAACTACTTTTGTAGCTACAATGCATTTAGCCTCGATTGTTGAGTTAGCTATTATTTTTTGTTTGGAACTTTTCCTACTAACGAGTACCACCATTTAATAGGAAAATAAATCCTCATTATGGCTTAAATTCATCATGATTAGTTTGAAAACTATTATATGTGAACCTTTTTACAACTAGTTTATCTCTTCAACGGATCAAGAAAACATTCTTAGTTCTTCTTAAG